GCTGTGAGGGTCCTAAGGACAGAGGGATGTCTTATGCTGTAAAGCCCTGTGAGGCAAACTGTGATTTGTGATATTGGGCTTTATAAATAAAATTGATTGATTGATTGATTGATTGATTGAAAGCAGTGCAGACTGCCTGAGCGTCTCACTGCATTGTATTATATTAAAATTCAGGTGGCAGGTGACAGATCAAAATAAAAATATGATTTATGTTCAACCATAAATCGACACAGACAAATTCACTTGATACGTGTCCCAATGTTTTAACAAAACGTTGCCCTTGTCTGCATCACTGTATGGGTATTAAAATAAATGCATATGTAAGCAAAATGGGTAATTGTGTATAACTGTATTTTTAAATTAATTAATAATTATGAGAGAACTTTGATTTTGTCATTTTTGCCCAAAAGAAATAAAAACACAAAGTTTTTCCTTTGCTTTTTTCCCAGTGTGGACATTTAAAGGTTAAAGATATCTGAGCCCTTTCTGTCCCTGCCCGGACACCGTCCTTCCTGTTGTGGGTGTGGACACCAGTAATGGAGGAGCAGCGTCAGTAAATCGGCTTCTTCTAAGTTAGTAAAGCAGTTTAAAGTGTGCTGAGCGGTGTCGCCGTGTAGCTGGGATGCTGTGTCAGGATGGGAAACCTGTTTGGAAAAAAGAAACAGAGCCGAGTGACGGAACAAGACAAAGCTATTCTGGTGAGAGTCACCGCGAGCTAACGTTAGCTGCTAATGTTAGCCTCCACACTCAACGGCAACAACAGCGAGTCACGCCAAACCGCTGTGTAAAACTGGGGTTATTAAGCAACATGGCGTCTCAGTTATCATACAGACACGGTCTATAAAACACGCCTTCATTATTTTGACACCCTGTAAGTTACTCTTTAATTCGGCGTCAGTATAACTGGATGTGTAGTTTAACTTGATCCCACCTGTGGTTCTGTCTTCATGTTAGCCGGTGAGGAGCCGAAACAAACACTGTCATTCACTGTTAAAAAGTTGACGTGTTAACCACTTTATCCAAAGTGATGCTCATCTGTGTGAGTGCCGATTTTATCTGAGGAGCCTGACGCCGGTCTGGTCCCGTTATCTTCGTGAAATATGTTACAGCTGGTGCTTTACAGGGTGGAAATGTTTAGCTGCAGATAATCAGACTGGAGCTTCTGTTGGGTCTGACAGAGCAGCAGGTGGGCTCCTCAGCCTGCACACTGACTGCTACACACACACACACACACACACACACACAGAGGAAATACTAATACTTCTGTAAAAACACTCTGAATGCAGTAAAAGTCCTGCATTGAAAATCTTTCAGTCAGTTAATTTATGAAATCAGGAAAAAAAAAAGATTTTAAAAGTATTAAAAGCACAAAAAATGTACCTGTGACCGCTGTACACTAAAAATAATAATAATAAAAAGCTTTATTTTACACAGCACCTTCCATACGATAGATGCAGCGGAAAGTGTTTTACAGTAGCAGGAATTATAACATAATTCAATATAAAAGAAGATTGAAATACATTTTCAAAATCAAAAATAAGTAGAGTGACAGTAGAGAACACAGAAGGCATCATAGCTCAGTATCAACAAAACCATAAATCACTAAACATTAAATCATAAGTAAAATAATTTAACCGTGTTTACCGTTCAGATGTGTGCATACATACATTTTTATTTTCATACGGGAAAATTTGACTTTTTAGATTTTTATATTTTAAATTTTTGTATGCTTTGTACTTTTTATTTAGCTTTTGTGCTTTGTTTGTTTGTTTGTTTAACTGTCTCCTGTTTGTGTTTGATTGTGAAGTATGCTGCCGTATAAATTCATTTCCTGTAAGGATCAATAAAGTATAAATCTAAATCTATCTAAATATCTGTGTTAATCTAAATCATTATATGATAAAATCATAAGTAAAATTGTAAAGAAAAAATTGGAAGTAACGTCTTTCAAGCACAAAACTGTAAAATCTAAACCATGAAATCATTAATATATAAAACTGTAGGTAAAACAATAAATCACAAAATCATAAGTAAAAACATTAAAAGTAAATATTTTCATTATTTTATAATTTTTTAGGTAAGACAGTAAGTCATAAAATCATTAAAGCATAAAATTGTTAGTAAAATCATTCAGTCATAAAATTGTACAATTGTACGTGAAATTATAAGTAAAATTGTTAAATCAAAAAATTGTAAGTAAAACCATGAAATCATTAAATAACAAAGTCATCGTCAAATCATATGTGAAATCATGAAAGTATAATTAAAAATTTTACATAAAAAAAATTGTAAGTAAAATCATTAATTAATGAAATTGTAGGTAAAACAATAAATCATAAAAAAAAGGTAAAATGGTAAGTAAAATCATTAATCATAAAATCAGGTAAGATCCAACACTTTAAAGAGGTGCAGCAGTGTGAAGTGTAGAAACTGTGTCAGGTCTGTTTCAGTGAAGTCGCAGTGAATTAAAGTTCAGACTGAACAGATGTGATTTTAGTTTTCTGTTTTTAAATATACAGTGAGCTGATTTCTGTGATGTGTTTCAGAGCTTTGAGGCGTCCTTAACAAACGTTACATCCCTAATTCTTAAAGAAAGTACCTCACATCTACCGGAGAATAGTACCTGAGTAAATGTGTTTCCACCAGTGATGGTGTGTGTGTGTGTGTGTTTGTGTGTGTGTGTGTGTGTGTGTGTGTGTGTGTGTGTATGTATGTGACAGCTTAACATGTCTCTGTGTTCTGGCCGCAGCAACTGAAGCAGCAGAGAGATAAACTGCGGCAGTATCAGAAGAGGATCAACCTGCAGCTGGAGAAGGAGAGACTTTTGGCCAAACAGCTGCTGAAAAATGGCAAAAAAGAGTGAGTACACGGAACGATGATGACGTCACTGTGACGAGAGAACACAGAGGTCACTGACGAAGAAGGACGTTAAAGCTGATACATCACTTCATCCGACCAGCCACATTCATCTTTATCATTCATATTAAAATGTTTTATAGATATTCACGGGCAAAGATCACACACAGAAACAACCTGTTCGTATTTTCACTTTATTTAAAATGACGTCAGCAGGAAAATAATTCTGTAAAATCAAAAAGCTGAACAGGTTATTTGAAAATATTTAGTTTAGTTTATTGTCACAAAACCAAGTGGAGCTTTATTATTTGGTTTTTGAGGAATTATAACCTTGTTTCCACAGTTCAGTTCAGTTCAGTTCAGTTCATTGTTTCCATTTCCTCAGTGAAAGTTGTGGATGGTCCCAACAGAAGCGTTCCTTAGCGTCCCCATGTTTGGTCCCCCCTCTGTTGGGGTACCTAGCACACAGATCTGGTACTAAAAGGTGGAGCTAGAAACCCTGCAGTCTGATTGGTCAGTAGAGGACGCTCACTCTGGTTTTATGTAACCTCTGTTCATACATCAGTAAACTACAACTATAAAATGAAAGAGAAAAAATAACTTCATTCACTGGGCCGACTGCCGGCAACTTTTAAGGTGGAACTTTAACTTGTAATGTTACTCAATGCATGAGTTGATGACGTGAATCCATCAGCACACCTTAAATTTCACTGTGACAACTTTGACCATCACTTTAGTTTTATATGACACACACTTTTAGTAATGACTTTAAAAATATAGATGAATTTGGAGCGGATTATGTGAAGGTCATATATTCTAATCCTCACTTCCTGTGGGCTACAGCAACACTAAACCCCTGAGCTTGCCTGAGAAGGACTAAATGCACAAAGCTGCTATTTTTAAATATCCCATTGAGAGAGACTCTCACTGCAGCCTGTTTTATTTTGTTGTGAAAATGTGGGCGTGCAGCCTCGTTCTGTGGACGATAAACCAGGTGCAGACTTCCATCTGTGTCACCGCTGATGAGGAAATACAGCGAGTGCTGGACGGAGCAGTGAGTGACAACAACCCCGCCCACATTTAAGAGGACTGTCTGAACACACCGAGGGTCTAGGTACCATGTCTGAAGGCTTACTGCTGGTTCCAGAGGTGCTGGACTGAAAGGGTTTGGTGGAGACGGGGCTAATGTTTTTGGCTTGTACGTCCATCCCATTCTTGTGAATGCAACATCTTAAGAATGCCCTGAGGAATTTTGAATTGATTAAAATTTTGTGGTCAAAGGTCACTGTGACCTCACAAAACATGTTTTGGGCTATAACTCAATAATTTTATTCACTAATTATGACAAAACTTCACACAAATGTATAACAGGATCAAATAATGAAGAGATGACATCTTATATCCAAAAGGACAAAGGTCAGCTTGACTGTGACATCATCATGTTTTAACGTCATATCTCAGGAACAGAAGGGGAGACATTTGGTCAGATACTGAATTGGTGACTCTAATATTGAAACTGTGCTGATTGTATAGATCTTCTGTGTGTGAATCCATGTTTTAGAATTTGTAGCTTCTTTGCAGCAACGTCCATATTTGACCTGTTATCAACTGTCATGGCTCCATATGAGTCTGGACAAACATGTATGTAAACTGTAAGGGAGACACACAACCCAGTATTTTAGTTCAAGGGAATGTTCTTCAGAAAATAACCAAACCTTTTTTGTATTTTCTGTCTTAAAGCCTTTGCAAACTGAGTCCATTTTTTCATCCAAAAATGTAGCACGTCTAAAAATAAATGCGACTTGAAACTTGCGACACTGAGTCCGAAACTTGCGTTCGTGATTAAAATTTTCGGAACAGGTTGGATTTTCTGTGTTTTCACCAACATCAGAGCCGTTTGACCAAGAATCAGTGATGAAAATGTGGCGGGGGGACACAGCTGCGACGAGACAGAGGAACAGAATCATTTCATAACTCAGACAGCTACTGTCAGCAGGTCAGGTAGTCATATTCAGGTGGATGATGATGATGATGACGAGGAGGAGGAGGAGGAGGATGTGGACCGCACACAGAGGCAGAGAGAGAAGACAGCTCCGCCCCTTCATGTAGCTGTGTTGCCAAATGACAGACAGTTAGGGAGTGGTGACAGCCAGATAGATAACTCCAGAGGCAAAGGAGAAAGTGTGACTTTTCATTTTGTCACATGTCACATTAAGAAAACATATCTGACAAAAATGGACTCAGTGTGCGAGGGCTTTTAGTCCAGGATTTATTTGTTCCTTCACTCAGAGTGACACTGGTTTAATATCTTCTGGGTCCAAACAGGAAAGCGCTCCTCCTGCTGAAAAAGAAACGCTACCAGGATCAACTTCTGGACAAGACGGAGAACCAGATTGGTAACCTGGAGCGGATGGTGAGTGGTGGGGGGGATCGGAGCGACACACAGCGTGAAGCAGCAGTAATGAAGAGAAACTAACAGCTCCTCTGGTCTCTGCTGGTTTCAGGTTCAGGACCTGGAGTTCGCCCAGATTGAGGCAAAGGTCATTCAAGGGTTGAAAGTTGGAAATGAGTGTCTGAAAAAAATGCACGAGGTAGGTGATGGCAAGGATAAAAACTCTGATGTCTGATCACCACACCTCCACCTGTATACCTGCTTATTGATGATTGGCTGCTTCTCCCACATCAGGTGATGTCTATTGAAGAAGTAGAACGGATTATGGATGAAACTCAAGACGCCATCGAGTACCAGAGGGTGAGTCCCCCGCTGATGTCAGAAACACACTTTAATCTTTGATTTACTGAAGACGAGTCCTGCTGACGTTTCTAAACGCTCATGCTACGATACGAAGCTGTTTGTTCACTGAGCGCTTGTTGTCTCCCCGCAGCAAATAGACGAGATGCTGGCGGGCTCTTTATCACAGGAAGATGAAGATGCTGTCCTGGCTGAGCTGGAGGCCATAACTCAGGTCGGTCTCATCAGCGTTTACACTCAGATTTCTGACTCTGTATTTGAAATTAAAGTGACGTGAGAGGCTCCATCCTTCCATGTTTTCCATCGTGTGTTGTCTCCGTGTCCACTCTCAGGGAGACGTCGAGCTTCCTGACGTTCCTGCAGACGAGCTTCCAGAAGTCCCAGAGGCCACAGAGAAGAAAGCAGGTTTGTTCTCTCTCGAATTGTCTTTGTCTTAAATTCCCCTCTGACCTCAACGTCCTCTTTGTGTTGACCTGTTGCAGCTGTATGGGGGGCAGAGAGACCAGGAGAGAGAGTTGTTGACTAGAGATGATGCACCGTCTCATGGCGGTCACTTCCTGTCAGCGTTACAGATCAGAAGAATTTACTAGAAAGTTTGTATGTTTTTTTGGGGGTGACGGGAGGAGACGTGGCACAGTTAGTCTCTCAAGAAAACTGAGGGTGCGTTCTGAATCATATTCTTTTTACGTTCAGCACATACTGCAGCTGTCCTTAAAAAATATCTGCTGTTGCCTGCAGTGTGATCACCGTCAGGACAGAATACTTCCTCGTTATGTTACGCCCTGAACTTTGACCCTCTTACTCAAATATCTGTTACCGTGGAGATAAAATATTACAAAACTGTGCTGATTGTATAGATCTGTGTGTGAAGCATCCATGTTTTCACAGACATGGATGGAAACTGTCAGAGACACTGGACTGGTGGGCGGAGTCACACAGCAGTGAGGTGGTGATTCTGGTTTAGTTCATGCCTCTCCCCTCAGTTTGGTATCTGAAGAGAAACAGTCCGAACGCTGATTTTCGGTTGTGTTGATGTTGGAGCCGTCTGTGGATCCTCCTCCCTGCTGTAAGTCTGTCAATCTGTTCTCGTCACAGAGAGGGATCGTCCCAGGAAGAAGCCGGAGCGGGAGATGCTCGCTGCATAGGAGCAAGACTGACCTCCATCAGCTGACCTGCTGGAACTTCACCACACTCCAGTCCAACATTAACCTGCAACCACACAAACATCTGCTGGAGGACTCTCTCTCCTGCAGACGCCTGCGGTGAAGTGACCGCAGCCTCCGTCAGATCCTCCACGCTGTCCGGCCACCGTCTGTCCCTGAAGGCAGTAGCGGCTGGGACTGGTTTAGTGGAGGGACGCTGATGGGAACCATGAAGACCTGTGAGATCAGATAACTGTGCCTAACCCACCACCAAATCATTTTACTCACACTGACTTCACTTTAATGCATGTATGTGTTACTCACTGATCATCTGTCAGAGTCCATCCTGCTGCCGATGGACGTGTCATTTAAAGTCTGTAAAGGGTCGATTCACCCAAATATTAATCCTCTCGCATTGATTTTATCTGGTCATGTTTTGGTTTTATTTGTCCAGGTTTTTTTCCTCCTGAGGTGAGTGGAACTTCATTTGTGACGCTCGAGGAATTAAAACATTTTAAAGAAAACTCTGCAGCGACGTCTCTGTCCAGAAAACAAATGACACAGTTTCTCCGCAGACGGAGCTGTCAGCAGATTTTATTGGTCGGTCCCTCCAGGATTTCACAACAAATTCAGCCAATCCCTGTGAACTCTGTGACATCACATTTTTTTTAATCACAACTTTAGTGCAAATTTGACTTTTTAAAACAGATCATGCACAGTCTGGCACCACAGAGCCGCTACGAAGTCCCATCTTTACACTGTGTTTACATATTTACACAGAACCAGAGGATGTCAGTATCATGTCGCTGCAGTGTGTGATTACAGACAGCATGATGACATCACAGAATCAGAAGAGACGTGACACGTAACAGCATCGTCCTCTAGTGTGACATGTAACATTCGTGTCAGTGGCTTTTTATAAACAACAACAATGACATCACATGTAAAAAACAAACATTTAGCGTCCCTGTTAAATGGCGGCTGATCTCGGAGGGTGAGGAGCTCCTGGACCTCACTGTTTTCACTGTTTGTGGACATTTTCTGTTCTTCTTCTTTGAGTTATCTGCTAACTGCTATTTTTTAAATCTCCCACGGTGGGTTTGCACACATTACATGCCCATGATCCCGTCCTGCTAGCTTCGGTGCTGTTAGTACCTCTGCTCCCGGCAGAGACAACTCTGTCCCCTCATTCAGTGATCGTACCTTTTATACACAACGTTGAGGCTGAATAATGACGTGATTTTCCCACCTTGAACAGGCAGTGTAAAAGGGTCTTATGACAGGTCTAACTGTTAGCATCACACAGCTAACATAACCCAGCGGTTAAAAAGAGATTTAATGACAGATTCAAGACAATTCGGTGTCGGTGAGATTAACAGCAACAATCCAAAAACTTTCACAGAATCCTGGAGGGACTGTGACGGCCCCGAGATGTCCTCTGAGCCGGGTAGCTACAGGACAGATTGGGGCCACTGTCTACCAAAGAAATAATCAGAGAAAAACATCTGTAAATCACACGCTGAGAAAAAATCCAAATAGAGAGAAATTTCTGTTTCATATTTTTTGGCCTAGTGGTGGCGCCCCCTGTCTTTACACTCATTCATCACAGTACTGTCAGTTATCAGTGTGTGTGGACAAAGGTCTGTACTCAGATTACTTTATTTCTTGCTTTTAATAAAAACAAAACCTGACATTATTTTTTACTGCAACAAGACCTGACTGAATGAGATTCCACAGGGCTGGGCAGGATATGAGTATTATATGGATAATATGGTGAGTGTTTCTGGTTTTAAAGGCTGCTTTACAGTAAAGTGTTTTCTGTTGTAGCTGTTCTATGATTTTTCTTTATCTACTGAGTCATTATATCCATGATGATGATCAGAAATCTCTGTGTAAGTATTTTGTCACAGCACCAGCTGTCGTAACAGTGTTGATATCGAGGTGTTTGGTCAGACTGTTTGATTTCCTTCAGATCCCTCAGCCTTAACTTTTCAGTCGGACTTTAAAATCTGGGCAAAGACAAAAAAAATCTATCATCATCAGCAGCAGCAGCAGGACAGAGTGATGAATACATGACCACGCGTCAGTCATTATTCAGTCCCTGCAGGTTTCGCAGGCTCTTTTTGAGATTGTTATCGTCTCATTTCACTGCAGCTTTTCTAAAAATCTGCGATTCATGTTTCCATGTTTTAAGGTTTTTATTGTAATTAGGGTCACAACAGTGTGAGATTTTCACGGGACGATAACCGAGTCAGAAAATATCACAGAATTGATCTTATCATCAGTCAGAATGAGCCTTAAAGGAACGAAAACAGACGGTTATTGTTGGTTGAACAAATGTTTTATTACTAGAACTGAAACAGTTTGTTTGAAAAGTCTCCCCTTAGAAAATTACTAAAATAAATAACTCAAATAAAGGGGAGATACTCTTGTCCTGTTGCTTTCTTCTTCTTTTTTTTTTTAGCAATATACATAATATATACACCTAACAGCCAAAACATTAAAAACACTGACAGGTGAAGTGAACAACACTGATCATCTTGTTACAGTGTAATGTTCTGTTGGTAAACCTTGAGCTCTGACGTTCATGTGGATGCCACCTGACATGCTCCACCCACCTGAACACCAGTGCAGAACAGGTACCCCCCCCCCCTCCAATGGCAACAGTACTCTTCAGTAGCTGCGATGCGCCATGCCATATCACTCAAACTGCTCAGGGCTCAAGGCGTCAACCTGGCCTCCAAATTCCCCAAATCCTCGTCTGATCAAACGTTCATGGGACATGCTGGTACCCCACCTCACAACCCACAGGACTCAAAAGATCTGAAGCTAACGCCCTGGTGCCAGACACCACAGGACAACCCTTACAGGTCCTGTGTCTATGTCTTGACAGGTCAGAGCCAAATTTCGTCCAAGGAGGACCCACCATGGATCAGGGGTACCTCTGGGGTACTAGAGGGGCCCTCAGATGTTTGATGAGATTGGGATCTGGGGTATTTGGAGGCCAGGTTGATGCCTTGAACCTTGAGCAGTTTTTGTGATGTGGCATGGTGCATTATCCTGCGGGGGGCGCCACTGCCATCGACAAGTGTTGTTGCCATGAGGGGGTTTACTTGGCCTGCAACGGTGTTCGGGTGGGCGGAGCATGTTAGTGTTAATTGCTGCATCCCTAGTGTTTGCATTTGTATAGTATAAGGGTGCTTACACACCTGCCCTGTTTGGATCGGTTCAGTTGAACTCCGGTTCGTTGAGGCAAGTGTGAAAACAGCAGTTGCACCAACACTGCAGTAAAAACACCAGCTGAGATGCATATATCACACATCACACATATCGGCTGAAGCAATCTCAGAACCCACTGACTATTGTCTGATGGCAAGTTAGCTTTATAGAAACTTTTTTTAATGTATCTGCATTCATAAACAGATAACAGTTTATAGAGATTTGCCGAAATGACCAGAGGGCGTGAGAGGAGGTCTCGTCTCGGGTATCTGCTGGCTGCACCAGATGAGCCAGAAATGTTGGCCCTCACTTCCAGAGGTGAATCATCGACAGACCGAAAGCTGAAAGAGTTCCAAAATTGAATTTGCAGAAAAGTTGCAGTGATCAGACTAAACTGAGAGGTGGTGCAGAATTTCCATGAACTGTTCTGATCACGACGTCCTGGAGGGTCTGAACGTTCTCACAGCACAGGCCTCGTCTCGACCCGCCTGGAACTTTCTCTAAAGTACCGAAACATTTGCATGTGTTTGTCAGAATATTCCCTCAGTCTGACCCCCTTTTTCAAGCAGCTTAACAAATCTAATTCTTCGCTCCCCTTGTGGATTAGTTCAGTGTCATTGGAGAAAGGGCTAATCATATCGTCTGTGGGCTTACCTATGAAGCCCAGACAACAGCTGGTAATCTCTTCAGAGGAATAACTTGACACAACGTGGATCTTTACCTGCTGAGTATTATCCTGCAGGGGCCTGTAATTATTTCATTGTGCGCATCACGCCCACGTTCACTCGCGCAGATGTGTGTAAAAGTGCAGCAGGAGAGATGGCCTACATCGGTGAGGCTTAAGCTGGCGTATCTGTGAAGATCCATCCAGCTAATCTGTGAATCAGTTAATCTCACAGTGACTCATCAGTGCACCATCAAACTGCCCATCTTCAGACTGAACCTCCCTCCCTCTGTCTGCTCCTTCTTTTACAGTTAAAATGTTTTTTATCCTCACTGGTGCAGCTCACAGTTTCACAGCTGAACACAAGGTGGCACCAGATGCGCGCTGAAGTGAAGGTGACTGAGTTGTTTCAGGAGCTGGAGGCTGTGGACGAAGATGTCGTGCTGCTAATTTAATCAACAGTGTGTGTCCAGCTCCGTGTCAACAGTTCCTTTGTGTCTCTGAGCTCAGCCCCCTCCGCCACTGCCCCCGAGCGAGCCAGACCTGCTTGCCATCCTCAGCATGTTGTTGTGTCTCTGCAGCAGGTTCGACATGTGGAGGACACACTGAGCAGCACTGAGCCAAGGCTGGTACAGCAAGAAGAAAAAATCGTGGGTGTGATGAGTGGGAAAGTTTTTAACATAAAGTTTCTGCCATTGTGTAAAATACATTCATAAAAATCCTAAAACATGTCTGACGTTAACATGGAACACGTTTCCTTTGTTAGTAGGGGCAAGGGTTAGGGTTAGGCTAACCCTAACCCTTGCATGATTCTGTTTTAATACATCTGAAACAAAAAATGGTGAAAACATTCATTCTTTTTGCAGCAGAAACCGAAGGCTTCCATGTCATTACGTCGGTACCTTACCTTACCTTACCTTACCTTATCTTACCTTACCTTATCTTACCTTACCTTTTGTGCCGTGCTAACGTGCAGCATTTTTCCCATGATGACCACAGGAGATCATGGTTTGCATAATCCTGTATATATATCAATCTAAAATAAAAACCATAACAGACAGAACACTCATCCTCGTTGCAGCAGAAAAGGAAGGCTTCTGTCTTCCTCGTCATCCTGTCATCACCTGTCCTTACATTACCTTACATTACTCTACTTCATGCGCAGTGCAAATGTGGTATTTTGATTACGCTGACATTTCTCTGTAATGGCTGCCGGAAATCCATAATAGAACTTTTGTTCCTTTGGCAACAGAAAGCCGAGGCTTCTGTCCTCTGTGTCCTCACGTCATGACCTTACATTACCTCACCTTACATGCGTTGCAGATGTAGTATTTCGCTGTAATTACACCAGAATTTTCCCCATTTCCCCAAAATGGCTGCAGGAGATCTCTTTTCCATAAACCTGTTTATATATCAATCTAAAATAAAAAGCTTAACAGCTAGAACATTCTTTCTTTCTGCAGCAGAGAGCTCAGGCTTCTGTCTTCTGTCATCATGTTGCACGCTCGTTGTGACATCACTGCAGGATGTCAGAGGAACGACTTTTCACTCAGCTCATAAAAACGATCATGTCTCAAAAAATAAATAATGTACGTACTATAAATAAGTTTTGGATTATTAAGAAATATTTTCTTTATGTTTCTAGACTTAAAAATCTTTGGATCAAAATGTTTTGTCCTGTAACCTTTTCGCTCAGATTTTAGGGATATGAAGCATTTAAAGATACTCCAGGAAATGAAAAACACCAGAGTGGGCGCTGGTGGACTGTTGCTACTGCAGAGTTCAAAGGGTTAATAATGTATTTAACGACAGATGTAACAGCGTCTCATGAGAGAGGGAGACTGGAGCCACGATGGACGGAGACTTGGTGCCAAAACTTTTGATGTTTTGGCGCAGAGCAGAATAGTGAGTTAACAAAGCACCTGGAACTGCGCCCTGCTGTTGTCAGAGAGATGTCCCTGCATGCTGTTTTAACCTAAGTAAAGTGGTGGAAATGGGGTAAAACACTGGAGAGAATTCACCTGTGAAAATGTGTGGGCACCCTGCGTGAGTGTCCACATACTTTTGGCCACCTGTAAAAGCTTTTGTTTCCAAACGCTGATATCAGAAAGTTGGATTCAGACATTAAAAGCTTCTGATTTCTTTTTGGTTTCAGGTGAAGGACACACTGAATTAAAGCGTATCCATCTGTTTCTACAGAACAAAAGCATCAGTCAGATCTTTTCAAAATAAAAGGGAGCTGTTAACTGTTCCTCTCTGTAGCCTTGAAGTATTTTTACCACACGGCGCCTGTGTGTTGGTTGTTGAGGCCTCTAACGAGCCTGAATCTGTGTCAGCTCCGCTTTGCTCTGACACTCTGAATGAAGTGGCTCCATCCTGCCGCTGACGGAGCACCACCAGCCCATCGCTGCTGCTGCTGCTGCTGTCGCTGCGTGGGAGTGGGCGACGCACACAGACTGGAGCCTGAATGTCAGAGCGCCACGCTGATGAATCACGCACGTGGATCTGAAGCGTAGATCAATAGACTGAGAGGACGATGGTGAGTAGGATGGTCATGAAGGGGAGATCAAATGCTGCTGAATGGACGTGTGTGTGCTGCCCACTCAGACACTTGCCTACCTGCCTACACCTCCGCTGTGCGCTGAATATACTCACTCAGTCCAGGTCCAGCTCTGCTCTCACATCATCATCACCACAAGGCTCAAATATAACAGGCCTCAGGTCCTGAAGGACTTAGACAGTCTTTCAGGTCTACAGGTTCTGAGGATTCACTCGATACTGGGGTTTGTTCAGGGTCACCCTGCTGGTTGAGGCGCTTTAACCACGGTGTCCCCTGTAAAGCGCCAGTGTGTCAGAGTTAAAATGAATATAATCTAATCAGTGTTTTTCCTTCAGTGTATAATCAGCTGACAGTAAGAATGGTTGTGTTCTCGTTACCTTAGAATGACACGTTTATATCCACAGAGATCGCCATGTTGCACTGCCATGTTTCTACAGAAGCCCAGAACGGACAAACCAAACACTGACTATAGGAAGGGACATTCATGTTATCCTTCACACTTCAGTTCTGCAACCTCACCACTGGACAGGAGTGGGTAGTAACCAGACCCTCAGAGAGTGGCCGTGCTTTGAAGTCAATCTTGGTTGTGGCCAAACAGTGGTACTGCAATTTCCAGGGTCCATTACGTGACGCCATGGGGCCCAAAAAGACTTTTTACCGCAGAGTGGGTCTGCTCCGTTTCAGTGGGCCGGTTCACGCTAAACATGTAATGACGAGGGCTTGAAAACTGCTTAAAGGCCCTGGCACACCAAGCCGACGGTCAGCCGTCGACCAAAGTCGGGCTTTCGCTCTCTCTCACTCCGCTCTCTATCACGCAGGTGCAGAACGTACGTGCTACTTGGCCGTCGGATGTAGTCCGTGTAGTGTGTTCAAATGCAACTGACACAGGGCGACGTGAGGCGACGCAACAGTTGGCTTTTGTCACCGCTAGTTCTTTGATGTCAGTTTGGTGTGGCCAACCACGTAACTGTCAGCTGACAAACAACGC